GGGAGGCCCTGCCATCTCTGTACTGATGAACATGGCTAAGTATGTGTGTACATTTTCTAAACCGCTTATCATTCTGGGCCACGGGGTGAAGTTATCAGAACAGACAAAAGAAAGAAAAACAAATGAATAAGAAGTCCAATAACAAGCAAACATACTACTTTTTAACCATGACAACAGCTGTAACATATTCCTTTTAAATAACCTTTTAATGTGATCCACAAGCATCAAACTAGTAAAAGGCAAGGACCTGATGGTGTTCGCCATCACCACGGCAGCTCAGAGCAATGGGGCTGAAGTCTATACACACATCTAAACAACTAGACTCCATCCCAAATTCTGACTGGTTAGATCCCTTCAGTGACAGCTGGTCTTTGTTAAACAACTTGTTATTTACACATTTTTAAATATTTAGCTAAATTACTATTGTACTTGTACTGTTCACAAAGCATGCTTTAGCTTGCTCCTAAAATCAGAAACTCCAACTTGTAGTGTTTGGAAAGTACTTTGGACAAAGTCAATCCAATTTTGTCCATAATTCCCATACACAGAATGTGAAGAAAACTGAAAACAAAGAGGACGCTAATAATGCTAATAATACAGGGAGATTCACTCAAAAGAGGCCCCAAATATTGTGTAATAACTCTCACTAGGATGAAGCAATCTGAACAAAACAACTATTTGCAATAACATTCGCAACTTCCGGGTGCATACCCACCGTACCCCTTAATGTGTCTGGCAGAAAATGGAGATCACTTCCAGCATTGCATGTAATGCAATCGATTACACATACGTCAAGGTATGTAGCGTATTTTTTTGGTTCAGACTGCTTCATCCTAACGGGAGTTACAACAGAATATTCAGGGCCTCTTTCGAGTGAATCTCCCTGTATAACAGCGATACAGACTTTTGCTGAGGGTGGGTCAAAATACATTATGTCTAAATGTCCAATAAATATCTTCTGACAAATTTACTATAGTAATATACTGATTTTCAGTCACACAAGCTTATTGTTTTGGAGAGAATCCAACCAATAGGGCGGTTTTCTCAAGTCACACAAACTGACAAAACAATGACACTGAAGCCTTATATTTGTTAGACTTTGTGCATTGCCAAACGTAAATGGTACCTTTTGTAAACGGTGCAAGTCAACTTCCAGAAAGCAGAAATAAATAACGAAGTCAGTCAACTGTACCCAGCAATTAGGCTAAACAAAGATGCTCAAGATCCTCTGATAAATGTACAGTGCAGCAATGAGAGCACTTCTGTGCTGGACCTGTTCCCAGGCAACATTTTGCTGAGAGACTGTAATTCCATTAGTACTAAAAGCAAATGTTCCTGCAACTGTCTGATCTCTACCAATAATCTAACTCAACAGTGCATATCACAGCTGTAACACAGGACATTAACATTCCCAAGAGGACAAAAGTAATACTCTTGGAAGTACATTTAAATCCACATGATCACTTGGGACAGTATGGGTTATACACAGAATTTCTATCGAATTGTGATCTGAAGTTCTACTTCTACATCCTTAAGATAAAAATAAAGTAGACGGCAATGTGTGAGCATGCATACCTGATGAGGAACATTGTAGAGGGTCTGTTGAGGGGGTGGCTGCGGCGGGGGAGCTTGAGGTGGCTGCTGCTGTTGTTGCTGTTGCTGCTGATACTGCTGCAGTGCTGAATTGATCTGAGACTAAAATTAAACACATACCAGTGACTCAAGATTATTCACTGCACCAGAAAAGTAGACTTACAGTTATGCCAGAGACTGGAATTCCATTACAACCTCAACATACAGACCACCAGAAGGAACCCTTTACACAAAATGGTACATATTATATCAAAGAGCAGACATCTAGAAGTGGTTATTAGTGTTGTAACATGTGAACATTGAAATCTATGACAGAGTAGATGCTTGTCAAATAAAAACAAGCAAGGATGTACTGCTACATCTGGTCTCACACATCTAAACTCAGAAAAAATATTGGAATGTGGCAGATGAATAGTGTAATTATACTTTCACTGCAGACTTCCAGCCTGGTCAAAAGCCTAAATACAGTAGAGTGTGGTAAAGGAGCTCACCTGTTGCAGTGCAGCTGCAGCAGCTGCAGCAGCCTGCTGTTGGAGGGCTGCAGTCTGTTGGGAAATCTGATAATTGGCAGCTGACTGTGTGTTGAGGGACGCTGCAGCCAAAGCAGACTGCTGTGAGTACATGGAGGGGGAAGCACCCAAGAGAGATGGCTGCTGAACACCTAACGCTGCAAGAGAACAAACAGGCCATAATACAAATCTGCAGGACCACTTCTACAGTTCGGCAGTTCAAAGCAGACTTTGACAGAGTCCAAAGTAGACAGCAGCACAAACTGGTTGCCCTTTGGTTACACATATTGAACCGTTAATCCTCACAATAAGATAACAGACGTTTAAAAAATATTATAAATAGTCATCTTTATAAGTTCCTCTGTTAGAGAGCCGTTTCTACCTGTTAGATGTATGCGGGCACTATAAGGGGGAAATTTACTACTGCCTAGAAGAATATCTCCAAAATTATGAGCAGATAAGAATGTCTACAAAAAGTCATGTCTGATATTACTTACAGTGTAAGCTGTTCAAGTCGAGGGACTGTCCTGAGTGGCCGGGTTGAGATACCGCCGTAGCGGCAAACTGAGCCGCCCACGGAGGGTTCTTCTGGCCCCCGAACTGGGCCATGGAGACCGGCTTAGGCTTCTGATGGACCAGCAGCAGACACGATCCTGTTGGTATGGTCATTGTTATTATTTATCAGTACTTATGACTACAGTCGATCACATGTGTTATCTTTAATAAAACTGAAGCCAAATAAGTGAAACGTTGCGGTGTCTCCTATCAGCTTCAGGAGATTGCAACCTACCTAGCTAACCTAGCTAGCTAGCTTAGGTCAGCTAGCTAGTAAACAACCTACCAGCTAGCACGAGACTGCAGTCGGCTTCCTATTCGCCAGCTTCTAGTTCGAATTTTCACGTTCCACCTTAAATTGTGCAGGCGCCACACTGTAACTGCTGCACCATTTAAGGTAGAACATGAAAATTCGAACAAGAAGCTGACTTCAGCTTCGTAAAAGCTAGCTACCTATTCACAGTCTTTCAACCTCCTTCGTTACAAACGCAAGGATAACGACCAAGATGACTCCAAAACGCATGAACAAACCTAACGTAACTGACTGCTACACATACGTACTATTACCGCCAGGTTACAACGACGGATACAGCTGTTAACTAGCTATATCCTCCTCTTAGCAGCAAATGTAGCCGACCTGAAGCGAGCTAAGCTAACACGAGCTAAATTAGGTAGCTCAGACACACTGACAAGCCGCACACTGGCTAGCAAGCAACATCAACAACACCAGCCGCCTCAAAGGTCTAACAACTCATAACAACGATTTAGTGAAGAGAAACAACAGCGGTTCGATTTATGCATCGAGCGGCAAACAGCAAAGGCAAATCAACGCATTTATCTACTTACATTGGAAAATAGTCTCAGTGGTTAAAAGGACAAGTCAGCACAAACTGCAGAGCTTGCAGCAGGCTAGGCTAACCGAGCAGCGTTAACGTTAATTCGGTGTGTGTGAGGGCGTCGCGCTCGACTTTGTTAAACCACCGTCTGTAAATAAGGCCCACAGTTTATCATACATAGCTAGCGTAAGCGCTCTGTTGGTCAGTCGGACAAAACAACAACAAAAAAACACGATTCAATATCTACCTACACGCTATAAACATAACAAAAACGTGTCCTCGACGGCGCGCAGACCGTCTGCGTTATCAGCTTACCCCCTCCTCCGTCCTGCGTGTGGACCGGTGGACACACAGACACAGCGCTGTTAGAGCGGATCGCGCATGCGTATTAGAGTAAGACGACGTCAGGCCCCCACAGCACGAATATAGGATCAGATTATGTAATATTACTTTGAGTGAAACAGCTGATCTGATTTGATTGAATCTGATTGAAGATAAATGATTACATTTTTCGGACTCAGAGGTGGTAGAGTAACCTAAAGCAATCCTAGACCAATACTCAATTACAAACCTGTTTCCAAAAAAGTTGGGATGCTGTGCAAAATATAAATAAATACAGAATGCAATGATGTGTAAATCATTTAAACACACATATATATACATATAATTGAAAATAGTACAAGGACAACAATTCAGAGGCTGAAACTGAGAAATTGTATTGTTTTTACAAAAATATATTACTGTAGAGGACTGTTAACACATCTCTACAGAAAAACATGCACCTTTTAATTTAAACGTTGAGTTATGGCACATTTTATAATTTATTTATTTCCAATATGTTACACAAGGGGTGTTTAAACTTTTGCTTATGGATGTATACTTGAGTAGAGCTAAAAGTAGAATCAGAATCGGAATCAAGCCTTACTGGCCAGGTATGCTTACACCTACAAGGAATTTGGTTTTGGTTACAGGAGCTCACAGTGCACAGTATCAAACAAACATTTACATGTAGTAAATAAATAAAACAAAATAAAATAAAATAAAATAAAACATGTATTCCTACCATCACTCACTGATACAAACACACACACACACACACACACACACACACACAGTCATACCTGTAAACCTCACAATGTGCAAAGTATGTGTCTTATATTATAGTGCTGAGTGCAGCAGCAATTAAAGGGTGTATAGTGGCAAAGAAAGGGAGAAGTGAGGTAACAGTCAGATAAGTGGGGTAATAAGGCAGTATTTGAATATGCTCAAGAAAATGCAAATCTATGAAAATTTTACAAAAGTTCAGCTGAATGTAACCAGTTACTTCCCACTTCTGAACACTTCTGACATTCTTTGATTAGTTTTGTGTAAATCAGTTTATCGCTCTATAACTACGCTCAGCTATTTCAATTCTGACAATGGATTACCATAAAATTAAGCTTCTCTCTTTATACTCACAGAACAAAGCAATTCTGTCTGGAGTTGCATAAGAAAAGATCCACACCAATGTGATTCTTAGACTGTATTTTATTTACACATTTTAAGTTGACATTACTTCACAGTGAACAACTGCAGAGACACTTTTTGAAGGCTACTACACTAAATTTAACCATTTGTTTCTACCATGTCTGAAAATATTTATTTAAATGAGTCTAAACTTCTGCACACAAAGAAATGAATTTGCTAATACAGACCAAAAACTAAAAATAATTAAAACTCAGTCCCTCTGAATTGTGCAATTTATGCTCTTTAACCTAAAAGTCTGTCATCTATAGTCTAGATTAGATGTCTCAAACCTGTCCTCAGGGTCCAAATGTTTGCTCTAACCCAGCTCCCAATTAACCTGAAACAGGTTTTCTGCATTTTCTAATGGGTTGGTTCAGATGTGGAGCTGAAATTAGGTAAAACATGGACCATGTGGGGGTTTGAGAACCACTTGTTCTATAACCACTTATAGATTTCACACTTGTGTATCGGTTTGCCGCATGCAATACAATTTCTAATCTCCCAAAGACAAGCATTCAAGACAAGCTGTCTGGAAACTGTAAAGCTTCATAAAAAAAGATATTGCACACAAGCACTACAGTATGCAGTTATGCAAATTATATATATGTAACAGTATTCCATCCTAGAAGCATGGAAAAATGTGCTAATGTCTAAGTTGCAATATAGAAGAAACTTGAAACCTTTACAGAAGTCTGAATACATTTGCAGCTGGTTGTAACTGGTTGCAGTCTGTGTCATTATCTTGCTCTATATGCATGCTCACAGAATGATGTGTGATGCTACGAGTCTTTTAATTTCTGCTCCACTTCTGTGAACACTTTCATATTGATTTCATCCACTTCATCTTCCACCTGAAGAAAAACATTATGATGTGTGAAAATGAATATGAGCAACTGTGAATGGTAAACTGGCAAGCGTACAAGTGTGCAATATGCAGATGGTGCAACAAAATAAGGGCACTTTTCCCTTCAATCAAAGCCATTTTATTGTGCCCTCAGCATTTTTTTCATGAACAAATTTCTCACTCTTACTTGTTCCACATCGTCCACTTCTGGAATGTAGAACTGCAGCATGTTCTGAATGCCGTTTCTCAACGTAACTGTTGAACTGGGACATCCTGTGCAGGAGCCAACCAGCTTCAGCTTCACTGTGCCATCTTCAAAGCCCTTAAAGATGACATCACCACCATCCTCCTGTACAGTGGGCCTAAGAAGCAGAGAACATATTGTCAAATTTTGCTGGGATTATCCTTCACAGTCTATGGTATTGTCAGAACTAATCCTAAGCAACTTATCATGTAAATAAAACCCTACAGTATGTATCACTGGGAACAAAATACACTGTTCATAATTACAGAATCTGGCTTGATATTTGATTTCTAGTCAAGACGGACATTACATTAGCTTCAAAAAGTCACAAAGCGATCTAAAAAGTGAGTCATTTATTTCACTACACCAAGAATGAGTCATCTGAACATCAAGATACTGTGTATCTGCCACAATAATGACCTCCACAAAATGTTATCACAAAAGGTCACAACAGAACAATGTCAGGAAATTAACAAATCACATTTTTTGTGCTGTGAGAGTCCTGTGTGCTCCATTCCTGCCGAGTGTCTTAATCATGTGATAAACTTTAACTGTCTTGAGGAACACTAAATGTTCCACTTGTTGTTTTGCTCAATTACCACTCACAATATGTAGCATATAAATCACAATAATGCAATAGTGAGTCCATCTTGTCATATTTATATTTCTTGTAAATATGCTAGGCTATGAAGAACACATTCTTGGCTAATTAGCCAAGCATCAGACTGCTATGTCAATGCTTAATAGCATTTATTAACTGCAACACAAAGCTCTCCTTAAAACTGAAATCACTGTGCTTTAATAATAATAACAATAATAATAATAATAATAATTCAGTAATCAGGGCTATAAACATGACACTTGGAAGTCCCTTCTGTGCAAAACCGTTTCAACATGAATAAGAGTACCTGATTCGTGTGTCTAAAAGCTCTTTAATCATAGAAACAATGTCATCATCCTCTTCTGAGACACCTGTTACAGAAGAAAACACATACACAAGAATGTTTACTGAGACTTAAAGGGGAATTCCATCCTTTTTTTTTTATTTGTACATAAGTCAACCACTGAGGTGTAAACAGAGTTTTGATGTGAAATGGTTAATTGTAGAGAACCAGGGGTCACAATGTCCACCATGCAAATACAGTTTTTTATTTACTATCCAAAACCACCAGTGAACTTATATGTGTCTTCTGAACTTTTCTATGTAATGCTGACAAAGCTAAAAGAGTGGTAAGTCTGAAAGAATAATTTTTTGGGTGCTATTTGCCTTATCACGCCCTGCATGTACAACTACCTCTACACCATGAATGGATATATATAAATCTTATCGCAAAACTATCATCAAACAAGGTCTAAATCACCAGACAATGTAATCACAACTTTTTCATATATTTCTATGAGGGAGCTTTTAGAGGCATTAAACTCTTCACACATCCAATTCCTATTAACACCACTATGAACAACTCTCTAGAGCAGAGCATTTCACATCAAACTGCTCTGAATGACTGTTTATATCTTAACAATTGAATTATGCAGAATTAAAAAAAAAAAATCAGAGGAATTCCCCTTTAAGGAAGGAAAACGGGTAACTGTCTAATTAAGAGGCAAATTAATCACAAATGTAGCAACCTATCATTGCTTTGGCATGATGAGAAAAAACAGAGCTATTCCCTTACTGTTCTCAGGATGCGTCACTCCGGTTGTGACAGGTTCTCCACTCTCAAAAAACTTAGTGATGACCTCAACTGCATGGCATTTAATGTCTGTCCACTCCACATCATCATCTATCTATAATCACAAATAGTCAGTGTATTAGCCAAGCACCCATTTTCTACAATGCTGTGGATCCACAATCAATACTATAAACATTTACTTTAAAAAAATACTAAAACACCTTGGTCAGCGTAATGAAATCTGGGCCAAAAAACACACTTTTCACCCCTTCAACCTGAAAAAGATTCCTGTAGAAAGAACAGAACAATATTAATACTTCATGTCTTATACCCCAGCTGTCTATGTCCTGAAAGAGGACACTGAAAACTCACATCAGTTCTTCACCATATTCCACAAACACACATTCTGAGTACTGGATCATCCTGCACTCAAGTGGCATCAAAAGAACAAGGACAAAATGACTGAGATTGTATCTAAACATAGATAAGCTGTTCTGGACTCTTGCCTACTGTGGCAGGTTTTCTATCTAACATTAATGTCATAACTCAAGTGGCACAAATGTGTTGATAAGCTTTTAGACAAAGAGCTAAAACAATAGGCAATCTAAATGACTTTCTGTTGTGACACAGAACCTACCCTAAACAGAAATAAGAGAGGCACAAATTAACTTAGAAAAGTGCTTACTTTGCTAAAGATGAACACTCTGCAGAACTTAAGGTTGGGAAATCTAGCGTTCCTGTCCCCAGCACAGGCTTCCCAGGAAGAAACTTTAAACTCCTGGGGTTTGGTGTGTCTTGTGTCAAAATAGACAGACATCGCACTGCCAAGGAAAGGATATGTTGTCTTTAGAAATACACTAGGCTATAAAGATGAAAACAAGACAAAAATTAAATGAAGGGGATGGGGGGTCTACAAAGTGGCCCCTAAAAAACGTATTTGGACATTTGCAGCATATTTGTGTCAAAATGTATTCAGTTCTCTGTGTTAGGAAAGAAAATGTCAAACCAAGAGGTATTTATTTTAAACAGACCATTGCAAGAGTGTAATTTTCTTTTTGCCAATGTATTCTTTCAAAAGGTGGACTTCAGTTATGATTGGTATGATTTAGATCTAGTTGTCTGAGGAGTTTCTTTGCAGACTTTTGCAGGTTTGCATCCAAAATGCCTTTGTACATTTCTGAGTTGATGATCTCATCCATTAATACAAGCTCACCAATGACACAGTTACAATAACAGCCCCAAACTTTGACATTTCCACCTCTGTGCTTTACAGTACTCTCAGTGCAGTCCAGTTGGAATTCTTCTCAAGGCTTTTTCCACACACAATCAGTTTGATACTTTGTTATAAAGTAACCTAAAGTGGTTAATGTGTCCAAATACATTTTGGGGCCACTGTATGTACAAAAGTTGCTCAAGAGTCTCACCTAAGATTTGTTTGTTCTCTGACTGCTGAAGTTGTATTCTGTGCTTCTGGGCTAACCAGAGGGAGTAGCACTGACTTCTGTCTTTCACTGAAAACCTACAGAGAAAGGACTTGTGTTACTGACTTATCCAAACAATGCTCTTTTCCAGTGAATGTAGTAAACAGAATAGAATAAACAACAATGGAGCAGCCCTGAAAAATGCTTTAAAACAATAAATGAAGTGCTTCGTGTATGATGCCCTCTTTAAATTCATAGCTAGGACTCTGAAAGCAAAACAAACGTGAACAAGTTCCAAGCACTAGTTATGCATTTCAGGTATGAGGTCATAAATCTGTGTTTTTGTACAAAAACTAGACCATCTTGTGTAGCAGTTGCTGACTGACATCTTAATACTTTAAGCCAAGTGTGTAAAATCATTCATTCATTAATTGAAACATCAATTTTTTAAGGGCAGCTGTCATAAAAACGGAATCACAAAGCAGCTTCAGCCTTTTTTTATTTGTCACGGTCAGCATATACATTTTTCAATGATACCATATGTGCTGAAACGAACATGTTCAAGAACAACTGAACAATGTTTCCCTTAAAGGCTGCCCTGCTGAGGATCCTCTTTAAAAACCTTCATTGAGAATTTTCTGTCCAACAACAAATAACCAAAATAACCACGTGTTTAAAAAGTCCTCATCAGCTTGCAACTATAGAGCAAAGTCTGGACCTGCTTTATTCCATGCTCTCTGGATCAGAAAAAAAGATCCTTTTACAGCAGGCCCAGGAAACACTTCATTCAGCACGGAGAGATGGATTAGGGATCAAATGTGAAACATAAGGTTACAATAATCTGGAACACAGAAAATTCCTATAGCAAATGCCAAAGCAGTCAGACCAATTATATTAAATTAATCCTAACTGTCATCATTTGCACAATAATGCACAAGCTTGACCTGCTAGTTCACTCATCCCAAGTAAATCTCACGCTCTGCGATGACTGTCCAACAGCAGCAAGTTTCTACCATATGGAGCAGTTAACTCTTCAAATCAAACAATGGACTGCCTGTTACAGAAAGGAGTAAAATTGAAATAAGTTGCCATATTAGGAAACTGCTGTTCATGGGCTACTTGACGGATGCCTCCATTGACCAACCACAGTCCAACAACTCACCTGCCTCCTCACCTGCCAGCGACAGAACAAGGTGGTTGAGATAAGAAGAGTAAAGAGTGTAAAGAGTTGGTAAGATGGTATGATGGAGGCAAGGGCTCTGCTGGCTGAGTGTGGGAGGAGAAGAATATTAGGAAACTTGGGTGGGTCCAGAGGCAAGTGATGGTTTTATAAAAACATAACCACTGATTATTATGCAATCATTGCATGATTCCTTAAAAAATAGGGAACTAATGGTTTAATGGATTCAATGTTTCGATTAATGTCTGGGGTATTTAATGTGTAAATCCTGTTTAATTGATATTGTATATAGGTACTAATTGTAAACTGTAATTGTAATATGAAACTTGTGATGTTAAAACAGTGACAAACAATGGCAAACATCCTTTTCTGCAGAGGAGTGCAGAGGCATCGTTTTATCTAAGTTTATCATTTAACCAGCAGAAATGTCTTTTTTCCATTAGTATTTAATGTAGTGTTTTTCACACATACACTCATTCATACAAACTGCAAAGAAAACAGAACATTCATTATACACAGTATTGTAGAACGATATTTTTAAAACACATATAGTTAACATAAAACTGTGATTATTAACTATTCACATACTGCAGCAGTGATTTTAGCTAATGTCATGCTGCAGGAAAAAATACATTTACTAATGTAAAAAAAAAATCAACGGCCAGTTAAACCTACAAGCAGTTAAACAGCCAGCGCTTGTGTGTCAGGTTAGCTAGCCAGTTAACATGACCTACGAATGTTCACGTCTTCACTTCTGCGCTGTTATGCAGATAATAACGTGTCCAGATAATGAAATTTTAAACTAGCCGGGTTATCTAGCTAACTAGTTATCCTAGCTAGATTAGGCAGTTTTTAGTTAATGGTTATAAATCTAGTTTTCTCTTGTGTGAGTGCTCATAAAGGTCGCGGGCTAATGCAAGAATTAACCTCCCCAACACGAAGCAGAAGTTGGATTACTATTCGTCAGCTTCTTGTTTGAATTTTCCCCTTATACTTCAAATAATGCAGCAGTAACACCATTTAACTGTTGCACCATTTAAGGTGGAACGGGAAAATTCAAACAAGAAGCCGGCGGACAAGCTGACGAGCTTATCCTCCCTACAGTTATCCATACTTGCTAACTTTAGCTGGCTAAGCTAAGTCATAAAGTTGGCGCTTACTGACAAAAGTTACTGCACTTCTTAAGTGAAAAGGCCAAATTCTGAATGTTTCGAAAAACAGCTGTTTCAGTACAAACCTAATCGGAGGCGAAGCGGCCTGAGAGCGTAAAAACTGCAGCAGATTCCATCTTACAGCCGCCGCCATTTCGTTTGTTTTGAAATTTAGGACCCAAAGTTGGTTAACGTTTCACCTCCTGAAAAAAGCACGTATAGGTATAAATCACTAACTAATGAAAAACCGGTGAATATTAGACGTAAAACATTGAGAAAGCCTTAAAAAATAGAACTTTAAAAAATACTAGTAGCACGAGTCGAAATTGCATGTTCTGTTTTATTTACATGGCATTTGATTAGTGAGCTATTCCAGAGGTCTTTAATAAATCACTATTGAGGGGCACCAATTTAGATGTGTTTATCTGATTGATTGATTGATTGGTTTTATTTGTCAGTTTATTAATTGATCACATATAAAGTTACATAAAATGTATTTGCTATGTTGAGGAACTTTGAAGACCTCTAGGATGCTTTTGGAATAGTTTATGACACGAAAATGTTTTAATCAAAAATAAAGAAATTCAAAATGTTATTTTAAGATTTGTGCTACTTCATTTTAAATGTTTTTAAACAAGAGTTTTCAGCAATAAAAGGAAACCCATTTCACTAACATTACTGCTCACTCTTTAACTTAGTAGACTGATGGCTAAATGTGAATAGGCAGTAGGCCTAAGCAAACACTGAGATAAGGCCAGTGTTTGACCCAACCCAAATTTCCTCAAGGCTTTCTGACAGGGCAAGCAGCTTCAAGGAGTGGTTAGAGAGGGCAGTCAGCCTTACAGTTCTTAAAGATGACTTCACACTGAAAAGGAAGAATGCAGTCTGGGTGGTGGAAGGCATGGCAAACCAGTAAAGTCTTCTTCAGTGAAGTTTCCACATGCTTATTTAGGTGCTGAGGTGAAGAGGAACACAATGAATTTGACTCAAGAATTGGCTGTTTAACATCCATTTGAAACTTAAGAGGAACACAGCAGCAGCCCTTCTGAATCCTTCAAGTCTCTCTGCCCAAAAGACATGGGCTTCTGGATTATTTTACCCATCATACTCTGTGCCATCTCACTCATCGGGTGCTGGGTGGTGTAAGTTGGACTCTTTCATTTTCTTAGCAGTTACAGATAATATATGTGTTGGCCAGGTATACAAATGATAACCTAAGGTCCTCTGCGGACTGTGAACTACTGGGCAAATGTCTTTCTTAAGATCAACTTTTCTTTATTTCAGGAGAAATTAAAGCTGATTTTAATATTGTGTTAGTGAAGGATTTCTGATTTGTCAGTTCTTTCTCATAAACCTCCATTAGGAGAAAAGACAGACTTAACATAAGCAGTTATCTTTAAGAAGTTCTGGAGACAAATAAGAAAAGCATGAGGTGTCCTTTTGAAAGATTTCCAAGTGAGTTGCATAAGGAATTTACACCTTTCTTATGGAAATTATTTTAAACTACAAAAAAAGAATAATCTGTGGGACAATATTTACATCACCTATCTTCCTTCAATAACTACAACAGTCCTGAGTTAATGAGGCTGTGAGCAGTTCTATAGATAAAAAGCGTTCTGTGAGAACCAGTAACCTTCCTGCAGTATAAGTAACGTCTGCTTTGAATGAGGGACAGCTATTAAAAGCATTATGTTTCAACATGTTTTATTTAGGTTTATATCTTGTTTTGTAATTGACTGATAAATTTTGTTATTTGACAATGATAATGATGTGTAAAAGAATGCAGTGTAACCAGCCCAGCGAGGAAAAACACGTAAGTAATCTGGGTGTTGATGTCACACTAAGACTGACATATGGCATTCTCTGCTGTACCCACTAACCAAACAGACTCTATTATGGTAGCCGAATACAGAGACAAGGCTTGCTTAGTATTTACTTTGTTGAATCTCAACTTTCCCTGGCCTGTTTTGTTTTGGCTTTAATTAAATGGCCTGATTTGTCTGTCATTCGTTTTCAGTGAATAGGCTAATTTAGCTGAGTAGGCATCCTCTAATTTTTTGCTAGTATCACCCACTGATGAAAGGCTGACTGTCCAGCAGCTTGTAACTCTGGATGTCTGACTCAGTCACTATCAGCGAGTTCCGGGTTATACATTAAACCACTCGCGCTATGCAGCTCAGCTGCTATTGAGGGCTTAACCTAAATAACAATAGAGCTTAATAATAAATATGTATCTTTTTGCAATCATACTTTGCTTTCTCGTCTTGTTTTCTTCAGGTATGGCCTTGCAATAAGCTTCAACCATGTCTGCCCACTCAGTAACTGGTATGTGATGATAATTATTCTCCTTATTGATAATTATTTCTCCTTATTCTCTGTTTTGTATGGTTAATAAACTAAAGATGGATAAAGATAAATAAAGATAAAGATGGATTTTGGATCTGTACAGTGGATCTGTACCAGTGTTACATGTTAAGGATGTCATTGCTAACAAGAAATAAAGCTTTAAAGCACTGAAGTATATAAACTGCAGTTCTAATTTTTTACACAGCCTGAGACTTTAATTATACATAAAGAAATTTCTCTGTAGGTACAGATATGTAACAGCTATAGATACACAGTCTCTACTACAGCCTCTATGAAAACTACACATAAGAGTAGTGGCACCTATTTTTAAAATTCTTTGACTAAATTCAGAGTGACTCAGAATCACAATGCATCACAATCCCTCCCGGTGATTTCTAAGTTAAACATGGTATTAGGGGGTCTTTAAGCTATCTGAGCATTCAGTGATAGATGGGGTATCAAGAAAGGGTAAATGACGCAAGATATTATTGGTTAATATTAATGTTTCTGCTGCACTGTGACATAATCCAAACTCAGAAGACTTTAGAGACCAGAAGTTTAGAGACCAGTGAACATCATTACATTTTGAGGGAAGATTACAGAAAAACAAGAATTTTGTCTCGTAATGATAAGACATGACAAATCACGCTCAATATGACCAGAGACATAAACTAACAAAGTAAAAAAGTAGAGTTCAGGTTTACTTTAATGTAAATCACTGTTTTTATTTATTTTTATTTATTTATTTATTTCTCTTTCCTTCCAGGGAATACAGAAACTCATGTCTGACAAATGAAACTGAGATGTGTTGCACAGTCGATAATGTACCTACTATAAGGTCAGCAAAACCTTTATCATAATCTACTTAGACTTCTCCCACTACTGCTTTGTTACAGCAGTTCTGAATGACACGTCATATCTTTTGTTTCACAGTTCAAGTGGAACCAATTTTCCAGAAAATTCCCTCTTTAGTGCTACAATCAATGCTGGTTCTTTTTTGTGTAAGTGGACCAACTGTTCCATGATCTTCTATGAAACCATTTTAGTCACGGTGTATTTTTTTTCCTACATGATGTATTAAACAAGTGTTATAACTAAGTCTAAAAAACATGTAGATGCTACTTTTAACATCAGCGAATTGAGAGAATTGCTAAAGTATCAGAATCTTAACTTGATTTATTAACCAGTAATTTGTTTATTTATTTAACCTGTGGAAAACCTCTATTATACTCTATGTATCCTCTCTTTCTGCAGTCCTGGTTTTCTGTATTTTCCATCATGCACATATCGTGGAAAAGAGCAGCATCAACAGCCTCCTCAGTAAATTTGCCATGGTTTTCGGTTGTGTCGCAGCCATCGGTGCATTTGTGGCTGGGAACTGCAATGTAAGTATACACAGGGTAGCCAACGTTTGTCTGTTTCACTCACCGTTATGTAAAATTAAAACTTGCTTTAAGATTTTTGTGAGTTTCCATGGAGATAAACTTTTCCATGAATACACCAATCAGCCGTAATATTAAAACCATCTGCTTTTTGTTCACTCATTGCTCATTTCATCAGCTTCACTTACTATATAGTTGCACTTTACAGTTTTACAATTATAGACTGTAGTCCATCTGTTTCTCTGTGTACTTTGTCAGCTCCCTTTTACAGTAGCTCATCTGTTGCTGCACCGTTTATGTTGGTCATCCTCTAGTCCTTCATCAGTGGTCACAGGATGCTGCCCACAGGACGTTGTTAGATGGATATTTTTGGTTGGTGGACTATTCTCAGTCCAGCAGTGACACTGACGTGTTTAAAAACAAGTCAACTCAAACAGTGTCTGATTCACTCGTACCAGCGCAACTGCTCTGTGGTGGTCCTGTTGGGGTCCTGTCCCGTGAAGAACAGTGTGAAAGGGGGCTAACAAAGTATGCAGAGTAACAGATAGACGGCAGTCTGTAACTGTAGATCTACAAAATGCACCTGAGCTGATAAAATGTACAAAGAGTGAAATAAGGAGGTGGTTTTAATGTTATGGCTGATTGGTGCATTAAATTGTGATTATAATCTTATATTTCCACATTGAAATGTGTGTATATATATATATATATATATATATATATATATGAGAGAGAGAGAGAGAGAGAGAGAGAGAGAGAGAGATCATTAAATATATACTGAGGTGTTTAATTTGTTTTAAACGTTACAAAATAATTACCGCAGAGCTTATTTTGGATTATGAGTAATTCGTTGCCCAATCAGAGTTAGGTCAGCAGTGCCCCACCCTGCTCCTGAACATTTACATTCTTACACTTTCTAGTGCTCATACTGAAGCAATACTTAGTCCAGCAAATCAAAGCATTCAGAAAAAACTGACAATTAAAGCTGTATGTTACTCAGCAGGGGCATCGTTCTCTGGGCAGTTCTTGAGGTCAGTTCCTGGTTTCTTAAAAAAGGCCTGTTAAGACTTTAGTAAATAATTCTTTTTCAAATCAGCTCAATCTAAAATTATGAACAAAGGTGAGGCCACAAATGAAATCTCCCTGAACAGGTTTGGTTGGCCACTGACTGTGTCAACACAGCTTTGTGAGAGTGGATTGCAGTGTTTGCAGTGAATGAATACGGTGCTGTGATCTTGTATACAATAATAACTGAACGTGTCTGATTTGTTCAGTTCCATTGCCAACATTACCATCTGTGTATGATGGAGTATTACATTCACATGAATCACCAGATCAAATCTGTTCTCCAAAGAATAATGCTTAAACTGAAGAGATGACTGAGCTCTTGTGTTCTTCTCGTAGCCGGCAGAGCTGGTGTTGCTGCATTACCTCGGTGCTGCTCTGAGCTTTGTGTGTGTCTGCTTCTACACCATTTTGCTGACCTCTCTGACCAGTAGGTGTGCCCTCACAGGACTGGAGTGCTTCCTCTACCCAATACGCATCATCTTCACCAGCATCCAGGTCGTAGTGACCATCTTTTGTATCCTTTCAGCATTTAGCATTATGACATGCTGATAAAATGTTTTCGCTGTTCAGCATGTACAACTTCTCAATTAATCTGATTGCTTCTGGCAAGCAATATAGACAAGGACAGCGAGTTTGGTTGATTTATAGTTTACATATATGTCAGTGTTACTCAAAAAATGTTTACTTTTTTTGCTTAATATGTGTATATATATATATATATATACACACACACACTGACTGACTGGCCACTTCACTACACCACTTCAGTATACCTCCTTGTATCTACAGGTTCACGTACCATATAGGTGCCCACTTTAGTTCAACAATAGTAGTCCACTTCTTTCTTTGTATACTTTGTTAGCCCCCTTTTATCTTCTTATTTGGTTCATTCTCAGCACTGCTGTGGCGTGTTAGTGTGTGTTACGTTAATATGAGTGGATCAGACACAGCAGTGCTATTGGCATGTGTGTGTGTGTATATACAGTGCTGTGAAAAAGTATTTTTCACAACACCATGAAGAAATTCTGGCTCATTCTTTTTTGCAGAATTGTTTTAATTTGACTACATTAGAGAGTTTTTGAGCATGAACTGCCCATTTAAGGTCTTGCCGCAGCATCTTAATGGGATTCAAGTCAGGACCTTGTTACAGCCACTCTTAAACCTTAATATTGTTTCTTTTGAGCCATTCAGAGGTGGACTTGCTTGTGTGCTTCTGATCAATGTCCTGCTGCATAACCCAACTGTGCCTGAGCTTTAGGTCATGAACTGACAGCTCCTTCAGGATTTTCTGATAGAGAGCAGAATTCATGGTTCCATCGATTATGTCAAGTCGTCCAGCTCCTGTAGAAGCAAGGCAGCCCCAGACCATCACAATACCACCACCATGTTTGACTGTTTGCTTAAGGTGGAATGCAGTGTTAGCTTTATGCCAGATGTAACGGGACCCATATCTTCCAAAAAGTTCTACCTTTGAATCATCAGTCCACAAAATATTATCCCAAAAGTCTTGGGGGCCATCTAGATGTTTCTGGCAAATGTTCTTTTTGGTCAGCAGTGGTCTGCGCTTTGCAACTCTCCCATCGATGCCATTTTTGCCCAGTGTCTTTCTTATTGTGGAATCGTGTACATTGAACTTAACTGTGGCAAGTGAGGCCTGCAGTTCTTTAGATGTTTGTCTGGGTTCTTTTCTGACCTCTTGGATGAGTTGTTGATGCCCTCTTGGTGAAATTTTGGTAGGCCGGCCACTCCTGAGAAACTTCACCACTGTTCCAAGTTTTTTCAAGCGATGAGTGATTGGTATTTACAGTCCAAAGTGTGCCAAGAAAACATTCCCCACACCATTACACCACCTCCACCAGCCTGGACTGTTGACACAAGCCAGGTTGGGTCCATGGATTTAATCTGTTGGCACCACATTCTGACCCTACCATCTATGTGCCTGAGCAGACATCAAGATTCATCAGAGCAGGCTACATTTTTTTTAATCTTGAACTTTCCAGGCTTGGTGTTCCTGTGCCCAGTGCAGCGCCAGCTTTTTGTTCTTGACTGACAGAAGTGGAACCCGACAAGGTCGTCTGCTGCTGTAGCCCATCTGCTTCAAGGTTCAACGTGTTGTGCATTCTGACATGCTTTTCTGCTCACCAGTTATACAGAGTGGTTATCTGAGTTACTGTAGCCTTTCTGTCAGTTTAAACCAGTCTGGCCATTCTCAGTTGACCTGAGACTGTTGTGTGTGAAAATTTCAGGATATCAGCAGTTTTTGAAGTACTCAAACCAGCCCACCTGGCACCAACAATCATGCCATGGTCAAAATCACTGAGATTTCATTTTTCCCCCATTCTGATGGTTGATTAGAACATTACCTGGAGATGCTGGCCTGTATCTGCATGATTTTATGCACTGCACTGCTGTCACACAATTGGGTGATCAGATAACTGCATGATCAAGTCGATGTACAGCTGTTCTTACATATACATATATGTAAGGTTACAAACACAGTAAAATGAACAAAACACACATTTTCTCAGTAGCTCAGCTAAACATTATAGTTTTCTGAAGTACAGAAAAGGATCAGATATTGGTTTGAAATATTAGTTAAATATAAACATTTGTCTGATGCTGATATTTTTTTTAAAGAAATTTATCTACCAATACCTATATGATTCTTATCTCAGTGCATCTGTAAGATAGTTTTATGTAAACAAATTGCTCTAAAGTGAACTTACCTAAATATGCCATTATCTGCTAATGTTAGTGCACAATTTCTATTTATGTGCTGAGTTTAACATATAGGAAAAAGTAAAACATGAAATATTAAATATGCCATGATTTTTGCACAGGCCATATTTAATGTTTATTTTTTCCCCCCAATATGTTAAATCCAGCAAATAAACAGCAATTTTGCATTAAAAATGCAAAGAAGTGTGTTCTCTGTAGAGGATGTGTTATTTTCATTTCACAAAACATCATTGACCAGGGGTGCCTGCATTTTTGCATACAGCTGTATATATAGTCATTAATGTCAGTAAAATGAATCTAATTAAGAACACTATGTTTTTGAGACGTACATTAGTTGGAAATTTATTTAACTAGTCTAATACCTTGTGCTCTGCCTGGAGACCAAATCAAACCAATCGAATTATGTTTTGCTTGTAGGAAAAAATGTAAATAATAATAATAATAATAATAACAATAATAATTCCTTATACCCTGTTCCTTAACCTCCACTTGTCAGACTGTATCTTCTTTGTCCAAAAGGACTACTACTACAAGCACATCTCTGCCATCTTTGAGTGGACACTCAGCGTGAACCTGGAGCTCTTTGAACTCAGCTACGCTGTAGAGTTTTACTTTTTCTCCTCAGCGATGCTCTCAGTACTTCTTGCAAAGAGAGATGAAGAGAAGCCGCTCATTTTGTCCTGATGACTGGCATTACATCCACCTTAGATTATTTATTTTCTCTTTTTTCCTTTATGGATTACTTCTGCACTGTCACAGTTTCCCTTTATACATATTGTTATGTTTTCAGTTACACCTGAACATAATATCTCCTTAGCAGGGTTGGACAAAACATAAAGTAATGATGGCCAAATACTGAATACACTATAACAAATGTATTTAGTAACATATTCCGTTACAGTACATTAAAAAGTACCATATTCAGAATACATTTGCAATACGTCTACAGTACATCTTGGTAAGCTACATGGGAAAAACTTTTTTTGTTAACTTAATTCACACCGTTTGTCGCCGTTACTAGTTTGCAGTTTTCCCCATTGCATTTCATAAAAAAAAAGCTTATCATTTAAAAGAGGTTTTCGTTCACCCTCTGCCTCCGTCCACTGCTGCTCACACAATCCCTCTAGCAGGAATGAGTGTGTTTACATGCACTCCGTAATCAGATCTGGATTTCTGTAGTTATCTGATTTTTCAAATGGTCATGTAAACAGCATACTCCAATTTCTTAGATCCGGGTTAGGTCTAGAGATCTGATTAAGAAATCCGATAAAGAGAGCTGGATTGTAACTCGGTAATCAGATTTCTCAGTGCATGTATACTCTTACTCTTATTTCTTTCGGATTTCTTAGTCTACAGCGGTACTAGAAATAAGCAGAAAATCATATTTATCATAATCATGAGTTTACATTACATTTGCGTCACGTCTTGTTGTGCGAGTTTATTAAATGGTTGCAAAGCAGAAATCTGATTACTGCCTGACTCACATAGACCCAGAGTTTCCCCATTATCTGATTACTCAAGTGCATGTAAATGCATTGATTGGATTACTGACAAAATCTGATTTTCTGCAGTTATCGGATTATTAAAAGCATGTAAACACACTCAATGCCAATACTCAACTTATCACTCGCAAACATGTCCACTACTAAGATTATTAGTTTGATCATCCCTCTAAAAAGCTCAGTAACACAGATAAAAAAACTGGCTCATCACATTAGTTTATCAGTCTACTCAGGCTTAAGTAGGGACTTCAGTGTAACTTCTAATGAGCATGTTTGCTACATGCAGTGTGCTAATTTTAATACAGTAACTAAACATGTATGGTTTTTCTATTTACTGGATAAGTTTTGTAAGTGTACTCAAAAATATAAAAAGTAAATGTATTCTGAATACGGTCTTTACTAAGTGTAACTTGGACTGAACACAGATATTTAATTTCTGTATTCTGGATATGTATTCCCAATACTTCTATTCCGTTACATCCCAACTCTGCTCTGCTGAGATTTATGATGATAAATACTGGAGATGATCAGGGAGAATTACCAGTAAACCAGAGCCTCAAGCATGCAGGCATGTTTTTGGAATTCTGTAGATTTCAGAAATGCCACCTTTGACCTTCATTGGAGATGCAAACCTCCAGCATTTCTGCACGTCAGTGCAGGCCATTTATTCTCAGGAAGTGCCCTGTAATATTAACTAAATTGTAATCTAATCACAAAATACCTCAAACACTGGAAATCTGATGGTCCAAGAAGTACACTATGTAGATGTTATATGTGGGGCATATATGGTGGGAAGGACAAAGAGAAGAATGTAGCACTTGAGCCGGTTGAGAAACTGTTCACCTTGCATGAATTGATTCTATGTAATGAAAATCCTCATCATATCAGCCAAATTTTTGTGGTTTAACTTCCATTCAAATCTTCCGTATTGTGAATATCCCGTTCCTGTTTTAATACACTTGAAATTTCAATAGAGGTGATAAATGTTTCTCAATACTAATTGTAGAGAAAGAACCAAAGAACCAAACCATCCAGACGACTTTAGAATGAATCAATACGAACTACTGCACTTCTCCTAACAATCCAAAGAACAGTTAATTTAACTTGTGTGCTGCCTTTTGGTCTTGTTTTTATCACCATGTTTCCCTATTAATGGATTATGTTGGTTTTGGTGTTCAATTAGATTGTTTCTTCTACTAAGAAGTGTTTATATGCTTTAAGATCATGGTCAACACTTGTTTACAGGCTGGTACTCATTTTACCTGAAGGTCTCCAAAGATTTGTAAGCTCTGAAGCTTGCAGAGACCTTTACTATTGCAGGTTCAATTCAACCAAAACTTGATTTTCACTATTAAAAACAAAATTAAATAAACTGAACTTCAGGCTTGTTTTTATAAAAATGCTTATGTGGTTTTAGGCTAAGATACTAAGCTGCAAAATATAAAGTTTTCGGTACTGCAACAACACATGATTATGAACACCAACGCTGGAAGAGCACAGCCACTAAAAAATACATGTATTTTTAACCTTTCTCTCCACGAGTCAACTCGTAGAACTGGCCCTAAGGCCATTTCAGCTATTCCTGACTGGAGCTTTGAATACAAACATCTCACGGAAGGTCTACATGGTTTCACCACATACAAATTGTTAGCATGTTCCAAGACAGGTGTGGTGCACTTGCAGCTTGGAACTAAAACTGATGCACCGACTGTCAACAATGTGTGTTTAACTGAGCCCATGCCATTATTTATCTGTATGTATGTTCACACCTAATGTATTGATTGAAGGCTAAACAGCATTATAAAATATTAAATACCAGCCAACACACACACACACACACTTTCTAAGCTGCTTATCCTTCTGGGTCGTGGGGGGAGCTGGACCCTATCCCAGTGGTCATGTGGAAGGCAGAAAACACCCTGGACAGGTTGCCAGTCATCAGCCAACTCAACATTCACTGGCCAGTAAACATCTGTAAGTACATTTTTCAGTCATGTTCATGGAATGAAAAAACTGACCCGTCTATTGTGTAACTTTAACGCTGCTTGTCATGTTTGATGGTTTGTATCTGCTCAGCCAATGCTTTAGTTTATCCTCTTACTTGAACAGGTTCTTAATCTAGAGACTGTTCATAATTCACAACAGCATTCAGTAGACTGTAGGATTATTTTTATTTTGTCTACTACCTGTATTCACACAGTGACATTTGCATACGGACAATCAGGTTTGTACCTGTGACACACGGCAAGGAAATGACTGCAATTGTTCATTTTTAGCCACTCAAGTGTCTGAAGACAGGATAATAGGTGTGGTATACTGACCTCAGGGGCTAATTTCACAACAGCGACGGTTACATTTTTACTTTCTTAAAAAAAAAAAAAAAAAGAAAAAAAGGGAAGGGTAAATTCAGCTGTTAGAAACTACGATTATACCAGTGCCAAAGGTAACTAATGTAAACTTCGTCATTTCATTAGTACTGTGTGTACTGAGAGTTAAGAAACAGCACAGATCATCCTGTTGTTAATGCAAAGCACTTAACCTTTACTCAAAAGAAGGTAATATACATCCTGAAATTACAGATAGATACATTATGAGCAAAATAAATTCACAATGAATATCCTCTCTTCATTCGAAATTCACTCACAGAAGTGGTGCAAACTAGAAAATGTATACAATGTTGTTAAGAGGGGAGAGGTGAAAAGCACACCTAAAAAGCATGGATGTATAGGAATTTACTGTATAATACACTGTAAAAAATGTTCTATATTAAGCAGTAGTCCACATTACTAACAACTTCAGAGGAAGGAAAAAATTAATGAAAACAGGAACTTGATTTTTCAGTCATCCTCTCACTAAGTTCAACTGCAATGCATATCATAAATAGATGTGGGGCTAACACAAAAGTTGAAAATAGGTCTAACAAGCAAGATTCCACAATTTCAGCATAGCCGAAACAATAAATGGCCACTCCTCCAAATTCTAAACCTGGAGGGCAACCAAATCTAATCCGTTACAAACCTTTAAGATAGTCAATCTGCAGGCGTCTCTGCAATCACTGCTCATGCCAAACACCTCCAACCAAAGCATGTTAAAATAGTTGTGGCCCTTAAAATTTGTGTGAATTAAGTTGTCAACATTTTTTTCCTTGTATGTGTGGAGACATTAACAAGAAGCATGAGAAAAAAGAAAGGTTAAAGGAAAGAAAGGTGTCTCTTCAATCTAAGCCTTAGAACCTCTAGGGAAGTTTTATACGTTAGTTTAACTTTCAATGCCTAAAATATTGTCATCTAGCTTGATTCGTATAGCTTCAGTTGACGCAGTTCCCCCTTGCAGGTCTAAATCATTAGATGTTCCTTGATTCTCACCATCAGCGCTGATCATTTAGGATGGAGAGTACTACACATTTACATATTTAACAGTTTTCTTTCTTTTTTTTTTCTTAAAAAGGAAGGACACTACAGTAGTTGACAACTCAAAAGTATTAATGTGATGCAAATTTGTAATTTTATAAACCTACAAGTTGAAAGTCTTCTTCAAACTGAGTACATGTTCTTTGTCGTAGAGCCACTTTTGCTAGAGGTGTCATCATGGGACTGGTATCCAATAACCATTTTGATAGGGAGGCTCAAGCGCTCTTTGTATTGTTGCCTGTATGGAAGGGGGGGGGGAAGCAAAACAGAAATCAGTGCACTGATCATGCTGCGAAAAAGAATGTAAATGCTAAAAAGAATTATGTATAACTCTTCTACTCATATAAAATGTGTCAAATTGTTCAGAAGTAAAACATTAAAATGTGCCATTTACAACTAGGCGTTGTTTCCCAGGGCTTGAATACCCCTAGTGGACACGCATCACACATACAGAAAAAGGAAGTTGGGAGATAACGGTGCGTATTTGTTTGTAGTCACTGAGCAAACCCAGCAGTGTGCATTTAGCACAGTTTTGCGGAGCTTATAGACACTGACATGTGCTTACAAGCATGAGCCTTTTACATTGATATGGTTAGGGTTCGAAAGTAAGGCTGACATTTATTTATATATTGTTGTTGTGTTTTCTACTTTGTAAAATAAAAACTAAAATAAAAACAAAGTTTAGATTTGCTTTAGTTTTTAAATATGGTTCTTATTAAAAGTGAGAGGACATTTCAGAATAACAAGTCACCTTAACCCAGACCCACCAACCTTGGGAAAATATTTTGAGTACCACAATACTGTAAGCCTTAGTTCACATGATTTTACACCACTTCGCTTACCACAGTCATTTCCACACTTACCGCCATATCAAGTTTCAACATATAAATGGGCTACAAAGAAAATACGCTGAATACAATCATATATTCTTGAGAGAAACTTTTAATGAAAAGATATATTCACATTTAGGAACAGACAGCTGTTTCTGGGCTTAATCCTAGTTTTGACTGTTGAAGTGATCAGGCAAAACTGATTCTACAACAAGAACTTGCAATGCACTAAGCTGTAATATACACTAAAGGTCAAGTTTCAGTACACTTCCTTAAAACCATTTTTTATGATTAATCTTTCATTGTATGTGTGCTTATACAAACTGATAACCATAAGTGAACTGTTGATAAAAATGGAAATAATTTATTTTGTATATTGTAACTTGTTTTAACTTAAGTATATACAGAAACTTGTTGAAATGTATAAAAAAAACTTGTGATGTAAAACACTGTCAATTATGAATAAAACTCAAGTTTC